ACTGTGGCTGAACTAATGTATATTCCACCAACAGAGCAGAAGTGTCCTTTTCTCTGTGGCTTCTCCACGGTCTGTTGTTTTTTGACTTTTGAATAACAGCCATTCTGACTGGTGTGAAATGGGATCTCATTGTGGTTTTGATTTGCATTTCTGTGATGGTTAGTGTATTAGTCTCTTCTTGCACTGCTATAAAGAAATACCTGAAACTGGGTGATTTATAAAGAAAAGAGGTTTAATTGGTTGATGGTTCTGCAGGCTGAACAGGAAGAATGGCTGGGGAGGCCTCAGGAAACTTATGGTCATGGTGGAAGGGAAGCAGGCATGTCTTCTGTGGTTGGAGCAGGAGGAAGAGAGAGCAAGGGGAGGTGCTACACACTTTTAAACAGCCACATCTTGTAAGAACTCACTATCATGAGAACAGCAAGGGGGAAACCCGCCCCTACGATTCAATCACCTCCCACCAGGCCCCCCCTCCAACAATGGGGACTACAATGTGATGTGAGATTTGGGCTGGGCAGAAGTCGAAACCATATCATTCATGAGTGATCTTGAGCACTTTTTCATATGTTTGTTGGCCATTTGTGTGTCTTCTTTTGAGAAATGTCTGTTCATGTCTTTTGTTCATTTTTTAATGGGGTTGTTTTCTGCTCTTTCAATTGTTTACTTTTTTTTTTTTTTTTTTGAGATGGAGTCTCGCTCTGTCGCCCAGGCTGGAGTGCAGTGGCGCGATCTCGGCTCACTGCAAACTCCACCTCCCGGGTTCACACCATTCTCCTGCCTCAGCCTCCCGAGTAGCTGGGACTATAGGCACCCGCCACCACGCCCGGCTAATTTTTTGTATTTTCGGTAGAGACGGGGTTTCACCGTGTTAGCCAGGATGGTCTCGATCTCCTGACCTCGTGATCCACCTGCCTCGGCCTCCCAAAGTGCTGGGATGACAGGCGTGAGCCACCGCACCCGGCCAATTGTTTACTTTCTTTATGGATTCTGGATATTAGACCTTTGTGTGATACATAATTTGTGACTATTTTCTCCCGTTCTGTAGGTTGTCTGTTTACTCTGTTGATAGTTTCTTTTGCTGTGTAGAAGCTCTTCAGTGTAATTAGGTTCCACTTGTCAATTTGTGGGTTTTGTTGCAATTGCTTTTGAGAAGTTAGTCATCAGTTCTTTCCCAAGGTCCATGTAGGACTGAGTGTTGTATAAGAGAGAATGGTATCAATAGCAAACAGCAAACCTAGCAAACACCAGAATATGGTGAAGGGTAAGAGCCCAGTTTCGTTCTTCTGCATATGGCTAGCCAGCTATCCCAGCACCATTTATTGACTAGGGAATCCTTTCCCCATTGCACATTTTTGTCAAGTTTGTCGAAGATCAGATGGTTGTATGTGTGTGACTTTATTTCTAGGTCTGTATTCAATACCACACATTTCTGAGCTAGAGTCATTGAAGATGCTTTTGTCCCTAGGAAGCCCTGACATTTGTCTCAAGGTCCTGCTCTAAATAAAGATGTGTGAATAAAGAGCTGACAGTGGTCCTAGCACTGAGGTTCCAACTCTCATCAGGAAATGGCAGAAAATGGTTTTGAAGTAAAAGGATTTAGAGTTGAACCCAGCTTGACCTTTCTGTGACCTTGAACAATTCACTTAACCTCTCTAAGTTTCAGAGGAGTAAATGAAGTTAATACATCAAGAATTGATAGAATTAAGTCAGATAATGTTTAGAAAATATCTAATATAATGTCTGACTTACCATGGGCATTTAATAAATTTTAGCTTGTGGCTATTGTTTTAGAGAAAGAGAGAAGGAGCCTTATTGGATAGAATTCTTGGCCCTTCATGTTAGTAAAAGCAGACAGACTTTTATATAAAGCCCAGCTTTACCTTTTACTTATTAGTTTGAATGAACTTGAGCAAGTTACTTAGTTTTCTGGATCTCATTTTTTCAAATAAAATTAATTCGATATAATTCCTTCTCTAGGGGATTTATTTTTTATTTATTTATTAGAGACAGGGTCTCACTGTATCACATAGGCTGGAATGCAGTGGTGTGATCATAGCTCATCATATCTTCCAACTACCTGGCTCAAGCAATCCCCCTGCCTCAGCTTCCTGAGTAGCTAAGACTACAGGCATGTGCCACCGTGCCCGGCTAATTAAAAAATAATTGTAGAAATGGGGTCTCATTATGTTGCCCAGGCTGGTCTTGAATTCCTGGCAGTCCTCCTGCCTCAACCTCCAAAAGCTGTAGGATTCCAAGCATGAGCCACGCTGCCCGGCCTTTCTAAGGGGATTTAAAGAGAGAATGCATATCACACTGCCTGGCACAAGAACATAATGACTAACCAATTAATTATAACATTGTAAGTGCTAGGTAGTTAAAGTTAGTGCTAGAACAAGAACCTCTGCTTTCCTAACAGTAGGAATACTTGTGAAACTTACAGATTTTCTTTCTTTCTGTTTTGTTTTTTTTTTTTTAATTCCTCCCTTACTTTTCTTTTTTAAAAAAATTCCATTTGTGTGGGAAACTGTAGGAGAACAGATGCCTTCTACCTAGACAGGTTTGAATCATTCCCCATCAACGGTACTTGCTGTGAGTTTGTGTGTTATCTTCATTAATGGTCCTTGGTTGCACTGAGCACTCAGCTTTGTTAGTTCATTCAGTCATTGATCATTTATTTATTGAGCACCCCCTGAGGTCCACACATTTTCTCAATTGCTTTCCTTGACAGTATCCATTGTTAAAATCCTTAATTCTTATCTCTTGCATAGGGAGTAGAGCTTCATACCATGTTCAATACACTAGGGACTGCTCTGCAGAAATTTCCATCAACCTCTCCCAACCTGGGTGTCCTTGTCTCTTCCTTGCCCCTGTCAAAGTTTAAAGGACTTACCTGATGTCAACGTCCTGGACATCCAGCAGTGTTGCAGCTGTGTCTGTGTTACTTCTGGCTCTGCAACAGATGTGGATGGAGAAGCTCCTGCCGTGTAATGTTGACTTCCAGATGGTGGGCGTGGGGAAAAAGAAGGTGTGACAACAGGAGGGGAGACCTCAGAAAGTGCGCGACAGGAGGTAGCAGACAGGTAGTGGGCAAAGTAAGGAAATGACGGGTGGCAGAGGGAGGAATCCTAAGGAACGGGAGAGATTTGTGACATGCCTTAGAAGAGAAATTGACTAGAATTTATAATTAGCAAAATAAAAGTATATTTACTTCAAAAACCATACGATGTTAAGATGTTTACCGTCAGTTATATATGTCCACATAAATAAGTAAAATATGATTTTTAGTAGCTGGTAATTGAAGTTTGTTGCTGTCATATGGTTCCAGAAAAGCTATAATTACACATTCATGATATGTGTACTCGTGAACTCAAAATTTTAAATTAAGAAATTAAATTGATATTTTTGATTTGTTATATTTAACTTCTTTTCAACCTTAGGTTTATATTGTAATGTGCTCAAGAATATTTTTTTAGTTTGTTATTAGTAAAACTAATTGTATGTGAAAATTAGATTTGTAGACAATCCTTTGATGATAGGGACATCTAAACAACCATAAGTCAAATATACAATTCTCCACTACCTTCAGAAAAGTTAATTAATATATCTGCCTAAATTATTTTCATAGGGTAAACTTTAGCTAGTTCTGTAGTTCAAAGGCAGACACCTGTCTTTCTTTGATTGATCTAAGGGTCTTAATTTACTACAACTTTGGTTCAATGTTGATTTTTATTTTTATCATAGAATTTTAGTAATTGATTTAAGTTATAAAACTGAATTCACACCCATGTCAGCATACAATGGTGAATTTCAAACATCATTATTTAAAATGTGGGACCAGTTCTTGTTTTAACAGATAAAAATTGATAGATATTCCTATATATTTTGCTGCTTCTACGTTTTAAAAACTGCCAGTACAGTAAGAAATTAAGAGCCTAGAAGAGCGACTTCCTGGAAAAGAACAAAACGTAATTGGAAACCAAAAGCTATAAAAGATAAATCTAAGATCTAGAAAGCATTTCTAATCTTGAGAAGAAAAACTGAGAACCTAATATCCATAGAGTCCATTGGAAAGCCATTTATTCTAATAATTTATTCATCAAATATTCGGTACCTCTTGAGGAACTTCTACTCTAATGAAGAAGCAGACAACTAAAAACAGTGGGATGAGTACTGTGGTCGAGGTACACAGAGGTCGTGGTGTGACGGAGGTATATATACTGAGATTGTAGGAGCACATGCCATAGTGATATTCCAAATATTAATCTCTACAGTGTGGGAAATAGTGAGAGTGGACACAGGCTACAAACAACAGGCATGACTGTCCCAGTGCACACTAGCTGAATATCAACCCTGAACATGGGAAGGGTCACCTATTTTGTGCTGGAAACTGGAGTCAAGGAAGACTTCCTAGAGGAGAGGAGATAATGGCTGAGCTGAAACCTATAGGAGAAATGAGGTAGAACTAGATAATAGGGGGTCGGTTGGGATTTTACCAACAAAGGGCACTGCACAGAGCCTTGTCTTTGTTGGTTTTGGGGGAAGGGTAGTGGGACCCACAGCAGACCAGTTGCTCTCTGTAAAGAACTTCCTCCCTAACTCTCCCCATCTGTCCTTTTATACCCTCCATGTGGAAGAAGGGTTTAAGAGTTGTCTGCTTCTGTATCTCCTCTGAATGTATCTGTGGCACGCTGTTTCATAACTTAATTGGGTGTTTGATATCTGTCACCTTAGGGTTTCAACCAACACCTTGATTTTATCACCTTGTTATACATTTTTCAAACTAAGGTTAGAGATCAAGGGGGATGAATAGGAGAGAAGTACATATTTCAGTTCACTGGGCATAGGTGAATAGAGGAAGGAGAAAAATGAACATACCCAATCCACAGAGAAATGGCTCACAGAGCCCAGTGACTATGCTGAGATGCTATTAATTCAAGAAAGTTTTGGTATTTGTTTTGTCAAATGACATTATTGTTTAGGATTTTTATTTTCCCTTACAGATGTTGATCTTGTCTCAGAATATTGCCCAACTGGAGGCCCAGGTGGAAAAGGTTACAAAGGAAAAGATTTCAGCTATTAATCAACTAGAGGAAATTCAAAGCCAGCTTGCTTCTCGGGAAATGGATGTCACAAAGGTACAGAAAGAGATTTTAGTGTAATTGTTACTTAAGGAAATATTTTCTTTGAAAAATGTTTTCCTAATGTACAAAGCTCTTACTGTTATCAGGAGGAAGTTTGGAGTAGAAAAGTTTTGTGATTTCAAGAATAATAAAAGGCCACCTAACAGTTACTCAGCAAACATTCAGTTACTGTATGCAGCCCCTTAATGGGTATTGCATGTACAAGGATGAATTAGACACACGTCACGGCCTTGAAGAGCTTAAGGGTTGAGTGGCGGAGACAGACTTACAAATAAATAAGAGTTATATTACTTCAATTATTGAATATTTGATAAATCTCATTTTTCTAAATTAATTAGCAGTGCCTTGTTTTTACCATAGATAGCATAGGGTTGGTGTTTACAATAATTGCCAAAGACATATATTTACAACTTAAAAGGTGTGCTTGACATAAAAAATCTTCCACTTCCTACTCCTTTTCAGACTTGGTCATTAAAATAAAGATTCTAATACTACATGATCTTATTGTATTGGTGCTTAAATTTATACTTGAAAATACTACATTGTCTGTGCTATGGGCGTCACTGGTTCGTGAATCAAGAACTAAAATGTTTAATGGTCTTTACTGGCAATGATTAAGATACATATTGTAAGAAATACTAGTAGTCCATCTAGATTTCAATAGTTAATTGCTTTAAAACAAAGAAACTAATAAAATCAATTTATTTTTTACCACTAAATATATAGATAATTTGCTTAAAATACTCCTTCCATGTTGCCTTTTATTCCTCAATGTATTTTCCAAAATTTTGACATATTTGTAATGCCGTTGTTGCTCTGTAATTCAGTAATTAAAATTAATTTTAACATATATTAGGAAAGGGAGCCATTTTCCCCTTTTTCTTGAGTTTCTATAATTCTCCATTTGCTTTTTAAAATTCCTATTAGCTAATGTACAAGTGTAAGAAGCTCAAATTTTTGTGTGGAGATAGGGTGGAAGTGAAGGAATTAGTTCAGAAGGATGGGAATGCTTAACCTAGATTTACAGGTGAAAGCTACGCTGAGACAGTTTTCAGTTGTTAATAGAGAGGCAGCTTTCTGTTGAAATCCGTACAGCAGAGAGAGAGTTCTCTGTCTCAAGAACTAGCTGAAAGGACATATGAATGCATCAGAAGAGTGATTAGACTAAACCGCCTTGAAGTTGCTTCCAACGTGGAGATAATGTAGTTCTGGTTCAATTTAAGGTGCTAATTTATTTGAAAAAGAATTTCAGTGTTGTGGATAAACGTAGCAAATGCTGAACTGAAAGTAGTAAAGCAGGGAACCGTAGGAGTAAAATGAAGGGATAAAATAATTTTAAATGTAACCTGATGCTTAAACAGTTTTTACCTAACAAGTTTGTATTGGTGTTGGGTTTTAAACATCATGGTTGTATAATCATTATCTTCTGACATTATCAATTCAGGGTTTTATTCCATTTTATTCATAGAAATAAATAGTAATAGTGAACAAATGGGAAAGAAAATAAAATATGGCTCCTCTCATTTTTTTTCCTGTCACTCTGAATTTGTAATTTTTATTTAGGTTTAAAATGAATAGTTTTTATAAATTTATAATTTTTGAAATGGGAAGAATAAACTCTCGTACACTGAAGGCATTTGAACTTTCAACAGAATTTTTAATAAGTTCGTTATTGTTCTAGCTTTCTGAGGGCCACTGGGGAGAAGCCTGTTGACTTTTTCTTCTGTCTTGTCACCATAGCTTTTAAACGTAGATTATTTTTAAAGTTACTTTTTAGGTTCTGTTTTGTTTATTTGGAGACAGGATCTTGTTGTATTGCGCAGGCTGAAGTGCAGTAGCTATTCACAGACACTAGCACAGTACATCGCAGTCCTGAGCTCCTGGGCTCAAGCCATCCCTCCGCCTCAGCCTCCAGAGGAACTGGGACTACAGGCATGCGCCACTATGCCCAGCTTAAATGCATATAGGTTTTATACCTTAGTCTGTTCTGATACCTCAGTAATGATGAAACTGATTTCTAAAGTTTCCAAAATCGTTATTTTTGGAGAAATACCAAATACTTGAAAAGTTTCAAGAAAGCATAACCATGAGATAATATATTAAGAGCCATATATTTGTAAATTAGAAGCCAGCTTAGCTGACTTCTACATTCACTGAACTTTCCATAGGTTCTCAGTTCTCTCAAAAGGCCCATAATCTGCTTGTTTAGATTTATCTGCTAATAACACCTTTCAAATATATTTCCGTGTCTGTAGCAGCCCTAGATTGGAAAAAATAAATAAAACAAAGTTCTTAGTGTTAAGTATAGAGGATGATACGCAACACTTTTAAGATACTATGTATGTTCATTATTGATGCTATATTACAATTATTTCCTTTTATATTGAATGTTACAGTCGTAAGTGCATAGTCTGCTTAGTTCCAGTCTATGGCTTTTGCCAGAAAATCTTCCTTAACTTGAATACCTGGCATTGTGTATGATAAGATGACATCTGCAAGCCTTGCAGTCAATAGTGGATACTACAGACCTAAATATCAATAGTATGTCTATCAGCAGACAAAAATTCCTGTATACGTTTCCTTTTAAAGAGCATAACTGATGAAATCTTTAAAAGAAAACTTTGTCATATAGAGTGAATGTTTAACTGTATCAATGTGAATGAATAATAACATAGCTTAACATTTTAACTGCTAACTTTACCTATTTAAGGGTTAGATGATAGTGCATTTTGGTTGATAATATGCAATTGAAACCGTTATATAAAATAATCTTGGGCACATTACTTAAATTCCTTAGTTATGCATTTATTTATCTATAATTTCAAGTTGTTAGAATTAATAATCCCTGGTGTTGCTTCTGAATCTTAACAGTCTACGTTGAGTATTCTAGTAGAAAATGGCATTCTTAGAAAAGTTTTGTTGTATTTTATCCATATGACCTCTAGGGGGCACCAAAGGATCTAATTGCAGGCATTGCCTGGAAGATTCCAGCAGGTAATCATCCAGTTTTTACAATCTAACAGGTGTGTGGAGAAATGCGCTATCAGCTGAATAAAGCCAACATGGAGAAGGATGAGGCAGAAAAGGAGCACAGAGAGTTCAGAGCAAAAACTAACAGGGATCTTGAAATTAAAGATCAGGTAAGAGAGGACACAGCATAATTGCAGCAATTATAGATATGAGTAACATTCTTTCTCAAGTTGATGTTGTTTTATTCCTAAGTTATTTATTTGTATTGTTTCTAACTAATGGGATGATCCAGTTTATACTGTTAGGAGAATTTCTTTTATAGTTGCCTAAAATTATCACCTTTCACATGAAATGGTGAGAATACAACAGCAGGCATACACAATTCCAATCTGACAGGTCATAAATATACATTTGGATATGTGTATCTATTACTTACAAAAGTAAAAAGAAATGTTCTAATGCACAGTTTGAACCTAAAATATACATACATAAAGTTCTTGAAAGATGCCAACTTGAATCCAATTTTAAATGAAAAAGTTTAAAATTCGTAAGATGAGATGAGTTGATATGTAAATATGTCAATCAAATTGATTGTTGGCAGAGTGAAACCAGTTTTAACTGAGATAACCATGAATACGTTTGTTCATGAAGCCTAAATACGGTGACATTAGAAATGTTAGTGGATAAAAGCTGCGTACTTTAATTTCAGTTTGAACAGATGTTTTATGTTATATCTTTATTGAGATGAAGTAGATACTCGAATTTTAGTTGACAACATGGTTAAAGTTTTTAGAGAGGCAGTTCTAATAGGCTGACTTTTGATTTTCTATTTTTGTGTTACAGTACAGGACCTTGAAGGTTTTCATTCTTTATGTTCAATGAAAGCAGGTTGTTTATTCAATGAAAATACTAAGACTGGGTTCTTAGGGTCAATAGTTTAAAATAATTGTTTTAGAATTTAGAAGGACGTTGCTCCAAATAAATTTTTTTCAAATATGTTTCTAGTTCGAGGTTTTTCATCATATTTTCCAACATATTTTCTCTTTTGAGCCAATGAAGTCTTTACAACAAATGACGCAAAGACAATTGGGAAAAGTATTGAAAACAAAAGTGATAATGAAGATTAGTACAAAAAGCTTTTCAAGCTGAAATCCTTAGTACTAAATTAAAATCTTGGCAACCAAAGTAAAATTCTGCATTTGAACCACTATATTTGGTGTTGTGGTAATGGGTTTTAAATTTTCAGAAGACTTTTAATTATTAACATGTGCAAATAATGAAACATTTTATTTCATCCAGTTGGGGGCGTGCCTGATAGTGGAATGGAAAATGCTTTCTATCAGGGACTGAAGGCCTAGGTCTACTGAGTTTATCACAGATAACTTTTCTTTCCTAATATATTGTAATTTTTTTAAAGGAATCATATTGGCATACTTTTGGTCTTTTGTATTATTTGAGAGCATTTTGACAGCATAATATTTTGGACTAACTGGAAAAATACGTCAGGAAAGAGTCTCAGTTATTTAAAATTCCATTATAATTTTCTAGAGGAAAAAAAACCCATCAGGAACAATAAGAGTATAATATCACTTGTAAAGGAATAACTTGTTTAGAAGCATTTGCAATATTAGAAGTATTTGCAGTATTAAATCTCATTTTAATTAATCCGTGATGGTATGGAGGCTAAAGTTGCCGGATTTACAAGGAGCAGTTTTCATTTGTAAACATTTTCTGATAATAGTAGTTTTCTGACAATAGTCGTTTTCATAATGACATTTAGTGGGTTGTTTTTAGATAGAGACTGCCTTTTTAGGAGAGTCACAGCTTTAGGAATAAGACCTCTGAACAGTTACAAGATGTTTGTGATGTGATGTGATGTGATGTGCTTGTTACCGTTTTTTTCCCGACAGAATGTGAGGAAATCTTATAGGTCCTCTTTTAACTATTTTGTATTGAACAGACAGTTTCAGAAAAGAAAGTAGTGGTGTCTCATTCCATGGATGATTTGGAGGAGCAAAGCAGCAATTGTTCTTTGGTCTTTCAGCCATGACCTGACCTTCTGTCTGTGAGACCAAAGAACTACTTTGCTTGGCCACCATCTGCACTCAAGAGAGAAATTTACATTTAACTTTTAAAAGCGGGGCATGTTGAGCATTTATCTGAAATGCCTACAATAATAGAAAGTAGATTAAATGTTGAAGTGTTGTGCATCTTACAATTCCGCATCACAAGCAGGCTATCTGTAGGTTTGCAAACAAGGTGTTCTTCATAAATATAGTCATTTTATTCATGTTTTAGTTCATCTGACCACTTGATACATTTTTTAAGTAGATGGGAAACTGTGAGATTGGAATGTGTGAGAACAAGAGCCTTTTTGATGTATACAAAATAGGGCAAATGGTTGACCACCAAAATAATTTTCCTTGTGACCTGAGCCTTGGCTCTGGCATAATTAGAAGGAAAGGTTAGGAGAGTAACAATGGCAGCCTCTTCCACCCACTTTCTTCTTTTCTTCGTTATATTGTGTCAGGAACCGATGGGCGGGTTATCCTTCCCATCAACTCCTTTGTATCTCTTCAGCTTAGATAATTCCTGTCAGCCTCAGAGGATGCTTCTTGCACCAGAAAAAAAAAGGCATTTGGTATGAAGGAGAATGTGAAATATGCACTGTGATTTTTATTAGAAAATTTTTTAGGCAATGGTTATACACACACTCGATCAGGGGAATTTAAAAGCATATATGAGGGTACAGGGAATATTGTAATGGGTCCTCACATTTCCATCACCTACACTCATCATTTTTCCAATCCTCTTCCACAATCCTATTCCATCTATCTTACTTTTTTTCTCTCCACTTCTGTCCTCATCGTCACCTTCATCTTCTTTGTCGTGTTTTTTCTGTTCCACCTTCTCGTCTTCATCCTCTTCCTCTTTGTTTCTGTCTTCTTCCTCTACCTCTTTTTCTTCTTTTGCAGAAGTATTTTAAATGGATCTCAGACCTTATGTTATTGTACTCATAAATACCCATGTGGATCTATGAAGGATATTTTTACATACTATGTCATTATCATACCTACCAATGTTAACAATACTTCTTTAATATCAAATAACACCCAGCCTATATTCACATTTCTTTGTCTCAAAAATGTTTCTTTTACAGTTGGTTTATTCAAATGAGGAAAACAAGTATGTTTTTGTGTGTTAGAATGATCTGGTGTTACCCTTTTTAATAGGAAATAAACAGAACTCTTAGTAAAATTTCATCTTTCTTTGTTGTTGTCTGTTACATTTTGTACATAATATTTTGTGCTTTATTTTTATAAAATGGCTCATTATCGTTCTAAAGAGGCATAAATTAATCCTACAGCAAACTATTTGAAGGAAATGGCTACCACGCGGCATTCCTGATAATCACATCCCAAAAGGAGCTTCCTAGCATCTGAAACCCCAAATTCCTCATTAATTTCAGTGCCTTGTATTTAAGATTTGGAAATGTTGCAGGAAGCGCTAACGTTGCCCAGATGAGCTGACCTGAAATCAGTGATGCATACATAGAGTTTTTTGTCAACTTCCCTTTTGGTAAATGAATCTCAGAAAATGATTCTTTATAGCCCCTAACCTTTGATTAGGACCCAGTGCAAAGTGAAAATACAGGACCCTTTTGTTCAGAAAGCAGGAAAGAAGTGATAGTAAAAAGAACTAAAATATAAAATATTTTCCTTTCTTCTTCAGTCTGTCTGTCCTTGCCCCTCCTCCCTCACCAACCCAGGCTGGACATGCCTCTTTTTATTTGCTATTTGATGTTAGGCTTCTTCAGCATAGGGATGATAGTTATGGGGGAGTGCAGACCCCACAGGTGCCCATGACGGGCTGTGCACATGTGGCCTGTCAGCTTCTGGGTTCTTCTTTTCTCTAGCCACAGGATCTATACTATGTCCCAGCATAGAGCAGGGGCTCATTCTCCCCCGCCCTGCCCCCGCAAGGAAGTCAGACAGGCGACCCCTGAGAGACTGCAGTCTCCATACTGCAACACATTTGCTGTTTGCATCAGGGATGGATAAGAGGCTCTGCACAGAATCCACTGAGTGTGCTGTGGTACTGCCAGCTTGGGGCAGGAATTCTTACCTCCCTGTCCGGCTCTAAGATGCCAGGGATGGGCACACTTGACTCAGTCCTCTCTAAACACACATTCAGGATTCTGCCAGGGGCAAAAGACACAGCAGAACACACACCTCCCCCAGTGACATGCCCTGGTCCCACCCTGGGTGGAGGACCCCACCCCAGCAGCAGGGCAGGGCGGGATAAAGGAAGCTAGAGAGGAGTATATTTCTGAGAGCTGCCTAGGGCTGCACTGAGGCAGTGGAAAGATGAGACCAGATATAGGAGTTCAGTCTCCATTGTTCCATCAGAGTACACCTACAAAACACAATTCTAGGGGGGCAGTGGCTCACACCTGTAATCCCAGCGCTTTGGGAGGCCGAGGTGGGCAGATCACCCGAGGTCGGGAGTTTGAGACCGGCCTGACCAACATGGAGAAACCCTGTCTCTACTAAAAATACAAAAAAAACCCAAAACAAACAAACAAAAAAAACTAGCTGGGCATGATGGTGCATGCCTGTAATCCCAGCTACTCAGGAGGGTGAGGCAGGAGAATCGCTTGAACCTGGAGGCAGAGGTTGCGGTGAGCCGAGATCGTGCCATTGCACTCCAGCCTGGGCAACAAGAGTCAAACTCTGTTTCGGAAAACAAAAACAAAAAAAACCACAATTCTAAGATAAAATTGCTGATAATTTCAAGACATTGACCACAGAGTGTTAAACTAAGTGCCCTTTGAAACAGCACGTGTGACTGCACTGGTCACGTGCCCAAGAAACTGCCATGACCAGGGGGTTGGGCAAATGGAGATTTTGCATACTATTATATGTGTATATACTCCACTTACATATACAGGCACATATGCATATTCAATATGCTAATGTGCCCAGTATTCATAAAAATGTGTTAGCCAACTACAGCTCATAGGTCAAATCTGGCCTACTATCTATGTTACAAATAAAGTTTTATTGGAACTCGGCCATATCTACTCATTTGTATATTGCCTATTGCTACTTCCTGCAATAACAGCAGACTTGAGGAGTTGTGGTAGAGACCATATAGCCCACAAAGCCTG